ATGTCATGTTATGGATGAAGAATGTCATGTTATGGATGAAGAATGTCATGTTATGTATGAAGATGTCATGTTATGGATGAAGAATGTCATGTTATGGATGAAGAATGTCATGTTATGGATGAAGATGTCATGTTATGGATGAAGAATGTCATGTTATGGATGAAGAATGTCATGTTATGGATGAAGAATGTCATGTTATGGATGAAGATGTCATGTTATGGATGAAGAATGTCATGTTATGGATGAAGAATGTCATGTTATGGATGAAGAATGTCATGTTATGGATGAAGAATGTCATGTTATGAATGAAGAATGTCATGTTATGGATGAAGATGTCATGTTATGGATGAAGAATGTCATGTTATGGATGAAGATGTCATGTTATGGATGAAGATGTCATGTTATGGATGAAGAATGTTATGTTATGGATGAAGAATGTCATGTTATGGATGAAGAATGTCATGTTATGGATGAAGAATGTCATGTTATGGATGAAGAATGTCATGTTATGGATGAATGTCATGTTATGGATGAAGAATGTCATGTTATGGATGAAGAATGTCATGTTATGGATGAAGAATGTCATGTTATGGATGAAGAATGTCATGTTATGGATGAAGAATGTCATGTTATGGATGAAGAATGTCATGTTATGGATGAAGATGTCATGTTATGGATGAAGAATGTCATGTTATGGATGAAGATGTCATGTTATGGATGAAGAATGTCATGTTATGGATGAAGATGTCATGTTATGGATGAAGATGTCATGTTATGGATGAAGATGTTATGTTATGGATGAAGAATGTTATGTTATGGATGAAGATGTTATGTTATGGATGAAGAATGTCATGTTATGCATGAAGATGTCATGTTATGGATGAAGATGTCATGTTATGGATGAAGACGCAGCAGGTCCATCCCGGGAATGCCAGACTATTTCTATTTTATGAATTTTTTGAAATTTTCTGAAATATTAAATAAAGCAACATGATAAAAAGATGGAAATTCATAAAATGGAAATAGTCGAGTTGAAGCCACGGGTCGGCTCATTCCCGGGATGGACCTGCTGCGTCTTCATCCATGGTTTCGTCTCTTATCTAAATCATGCAGTGGACTTTGGCGGAGAGCTGAAGCTGATTGCTGATATGCTGCCCTGCACAATCCAATCACGTTTGAGAGGGAAACATTTTATCTTTTTCCATTATTTTTTAAATTTTTTTTGAAGTAGTAACGGGTACTCACAATTATGGATAAAAATGTAGTGGAGTAAAGAGTACAATATTTGCCTCTCAAATGTACTTGAGTAAAGTCATGAGTAAAGTCATGAGTACTCCCCAAAACTGATACTCCAGTAAACGACAGATCCCTCAAAATTGTATTTAAGTTCTGTACTGCATTACTGTCCGGCTCTGCCGATAACTGCTGTACTTTATTGTGTACAGTATCTATAAACATTCACACAACGAATTGAGAATTTGGTGGCTGGTAATTGTTCTGAAATAATTACATCATTTAATTTTGATTCATTTTTAATTGTTTTAATATCTGAAATTAATTATTCAATCAGATTCAGACTCAGACAACACATCTCAAACACAACACATTCTGCTTATTTCTTCCTGGCTCTCTCACTCTTCACATCTTCAATGCTTTGTTTGCTCGCGCTCGTCTTGGCGGATCTGAATTGTTCTCTCTCTGCTGAAGCTCAAACCGTGGCGCCGAGTCCAAACTTGACATTCAACCGATGTTTCTGTGGCAACAGGAGAGAGAGAGAGTCATGCGATGATGAGGAGCTGCTTCATCTCACAGTAACAGATGTGGATGTGGTTCTACAGTAACAGCCTGTGACGAAAAGACATCGATGAACCATCGTTGTAAATTTAACAAGGTCTCCCGTATCCGAACATAAATTCAAAGAAACACATTTCCTGACCAATCTGCTGAAATGTGTTTATTTTAGACTGTATACACTGCAAACATGATCATTTCCATCACAATCAAATCTTGTTTTACAAATAAACATTCCTGAATAGGTACTTTTTACTGAAAAATGCATCAAAATGAAGTGAGTTTGTGCTCAAAACAAGAACTAATATCTGCCAGTTCAACAATCCTCTTTCCCTTTGAGTGAAGTTTGTTTTCCTGACTCCACTGGCAGATTTTAGTTCTTGTTTTAAGCGCAAACTCACTTCATTTTGATGCATTTTTCATTAAACAAGACTTAATATCTCCTCCAGTAAATGTTGATCGAAGAATGTTTAGACAAGATTTCTGGTGATTGTTTGATTGATTGATTGATTGATTGATTATTCTAGAGTGTAAGTAAGAAGGTCTGCGTCTCAACTGGTTAACTTTGCCATTAGAACTGGTGCTAATGAAACGGCCAGTGTGAGATCGATCTCTGACATCTTATATGTCACATGATGTTTCTGTAAGACTTCTGTCCGAGGAACCACTGCTGGTTTCACAGATACATGAACAAACCCCGATTACACCTCCGTCATGTGAATCATCCTCTTAATGACGCGTCTCCAGAACCCGAATCTCCCTTCTGCTCTTCAGATCCAGTCAGAACAGGATTCCTGAGAGAAATGACTGGCAGCTCGAGTCCCATCTCTGCTAATCATGGGGAGCACACACTCGCCACAGCTCTATACAGTTTCACATCAGCTTCAGTAACACACACACACACACACAGTCATCAGATTCGAGACAAACTCACATTCTGCTGTAACACAGCCCTAAAACAGAGTCATTATTCAGATCAACTGGGGATTCAGGCCAGTTCAATAATGCGTAAAGCTCAAACGAGTCCAATTCAGCTATGAGCAATATTATCATATTATATCTTATTAATATTAGTAAATATTTCACATATTAATAGATTATATCACATCGTTCTCAGAGTCAATCCCAGAACAAAAAAGAAAGAGATTCAAATAAAATGGCATTTTTATTTAATCAGACAGAACTGAGAGGAACACACACACACACACAGCAGGACAAAACAAATGTTGACTCTTTATACTGTATATATATATATAAATACAGTATAAAGTGTCAGTAGAGTATTAGTAGACTGGTAGGGTTATAGGGTTATTATTTGACATGTAGTTGCAAAGTTACTAATAGTCAACAGGATGTTCAAAAGGGACCATCAAAATAAAGATATATATATACACACACACACACACATTTATATGAAAAAAGCTGATCGTGTGTCGTCTCTGAGGTTTCATCAGACTCTCAGGGTTCGGAACAGAGCCGGAAAACATGGATATTCTTCCATCAGTAAAACAGGGACCAGCGAGTCTCGTGGACTTTCACACACACACACACACACACACACACACACACACAGACACGTTAAGCTGGAATAAACACATGTTTACTCTGCTGCGTCAGACGCTACCTCATGGACTCACGGGGTTATTCCCCTGCTGGAGAGATGTTTGTGTTCGAGCTGTGATGGATGTGTGTGTTTCTCAATATACGGATGTTTACCGTCACCTCAGGACGGTCTGAAAGAGGTGAGCTCAGGTGTGTGTTCAGTGTCTCTGAGGGACAGAAACTCGAACTCATATGAAGAACGTCTGCTTTCGTCTGAGTCTTTCTGACAGCATCAGACATCCATGAAGGAGAAAGCCATAGGAGGAAGAGTGAGATATTAAACATGGACACACACCGCACCAGTTCCAGCGCTCATCACAGAAATGGGCCGAAAGATTATTTCATCACGGCTTCACAGGCGCTGTGTGTTTCTATGAGCCTTTTAAATGCTAAATGTCTGTTCCAAATGTTCCCCTCACAGGATTTGGTTTACCAGTTCCTCCCTTTTCCTCTAATCCAGCCAAACAATATCTCATTTCATGGTGACTTATTTTGGCAACACACATAAACATTTAAATATACAAGCAAAATATAATTTCTAAAAACATGTTTTTTAATATTTTTCTCCATTAGAACTAAAAACCCAGAACATTTTTGCTGAAATTAATCAAATGAAACCAAACAAATTCAAAGCATGTTGTGAGGAAGTGAACACTCCCGTTTGATATATAATTATAGAACAAATTGGTATATATATGTATATGCTATAAACTCTCTGAAGAATGCATGCATAGACAATCGTTTCTTTTTAAATTAATCCAGGAGAGGCATGGGTGTATGCCGATGACCTTGAAGTGAACTTCTGCACACACACACACACACGTTTCGCTCTCAGGTAAGTGAGACAGCTCGGATCAGGATCAGGACCGGTGTTGGTCAGATACACCAAACGCTTGCCTAAAGGGAATAACACACACACACACACACACACACACACACATGAAACCCCTAAACACTCATTAAAACTGGAGTTAGCAATCAGTCCTGTAACTCAAACAGCAGAACTTGTACGCCAGCGCCAGGGCTCGATTCCCAGGGAATGAACAACTGATGAAAATGTGCACCTTTAATTCAATGAAAGTTGTTTTGGATAAAAAGACATCTGTCAAATGCATAAATGTCAACGCCGAGTCTGACCTAGAGAGTTAAATGCATAAAAAGAAATGAGCAACAGTATGTAGGCTACCTTAAAAACTTGATTGATAAATAATTGATGAGAAGGAAAACTTTAAAACAGAATATTAAGCAGATCACAGGAAAAAAACTAAACAGAACTATATGTGTGCTTACAGTTTTGTTCTTTCAATAAATAAGACTAGTTTAGAAGCCATTTGGAAATATAATTCACTAGGTTAAATAATTAATTCACAATTCAATTCAAAAGCTGTTCAAGAAATCCCTTTCTGTAAAACACAGACGGCTGGCATTTAACAAACTTAAACGTGACATTCACCCTAGAGCATATACTTGAATAAAACAGCAGCACATATTAAAGCGTATAATAATCACGTGATCCTGTAACAGAGCGTGAACGCGCGGCGACGCTCCACCAGCCAATAAACGCGACGCGTTCGAGCTGGAGGAGGCGCGTGCGCTAGTTTCAGGAACTGGAGAGAACAGAAGGGCGTGTGTTATTAATAATCATCCGAGCAGAAAGTCCCTCAGTCGCTGTGACAGCGAGCAGAAGAGCTGGGGTTCATTCATCGCGCGTCACGGCGCGGCGCGTGGGTTCAGATCGCGCTCGACGCGCTGTTTTATACTGGTTTACTGTGTGACTAACCGGAGCTTTGACGCAGTGGATTGTGTGGTGGGAACCTTCACTATCGATCGCTATATATCGATCAACACTCGAGTAAGTGGCGCTTCTGCCTGTGTTTATTCTCTGTCAGAGTGAGCGAGTGTGTGTGTGTGTGTGTGTGTGTACGCTTTGGGATTTTGACGGGGGATTTTCTAACGACCATGTGCTGAAATGAATAAGAAAGTGTAAGAGAAGCTCAGCTGTGTGTGGACGGAGCCAGAAAAGCCCAGGTTTATTACCGGGAAGAAGGCGAACTGTAACGAGGTTTCCTGGTTTCATCACTTTGTAATGACACACTAATCATGTAGAGACTGAAACTGTGTGTGTGTGTGTGTGTGCGTGCGCGTGCGTGCGTCTTGGGTAGTTTTTGTTAAATGTTATTGAATGTCCCTATGGAGATCAATCACGCTGAATTATTGCTCACATCAATTTACTAAGACACATAAACATGTCAACGTTGTTATTTGCATCATTATAAATTATACAGTATTTTTTTACTTTGATTTCCATTGATTAATTTCGCATCATCTACTCTTTTGTAGGTTTAATGCTGATGGACGTCCATCCGAATTTTGAACAGCACTTTTATTTTCCCAAGTGGAAGGAGCAGATGGCTGAGAACAGTAATTTCTAGCCGTATTATGTCTTGTGAGGAATCTATCTTGCTGTTTCAATGACGGGTAAGATGGAAACGCCCTTCTATCACGATGATAGCGTTCCCAACTTTGGGCAAATTCCAGATTACGATCGATACCAAGGCCACAAGATTATGAGCAAGAAGAGCAACATGCCACATAATTTCTCCAACGGGGGCAACGCCTCCAGCCTGAAGCTTCTGCAGGGACAAACTGGGAACGGGAATCCCAACATGAGCGGGAACAATCCCAACATGTCCTCGCCAGACCTCAACCTACTCAAGCTGTCGTCTCCGGATCTGGAGCACCTGATCATCCAGTCCAACCAGGGGCTGGTTACGACAAGCCCGGGTCCCAGTGCATCCGCTAATCCCTTCATGTACCGGAACCAGGCCACTAACGAGCAAGAGGGGTTTGCGGACGGGTTCGTGAAAGCTCTGGCGGATCTCCACAAGCAGAACCAGCTGGTCGGCGCTCCTATGTCTCCTCCCGCCTCCATCCCGGGATCCTACCAGAGGAACCTCCCCGACATTCCCATCTACACCAACCTGAGCAATTACAACCCCAACCAGCTCCCGTCGGCATACCCGGGTCCGATGGCCTACCCGTCCCACGCCTCGGGACACCCTCCGGGAAGGGTTCTGGACGCTCCTCAGACGGTCCCCGAGGTCCCTCACTCGCCCCCCTCGCTCTCTCCAATCGACCTGGACACGCAGGAGCGCATCAAGGCGGAGCGCAAGAAGCTCCGCAACCGCATCGCTGCCTCCAAGTGCCGCAAACGCAAGCTGGAGCGGATCTCGCGTCTGGAGGAGAAGGTGAAGGTTCTGAAGACCCAGAACTCGGACCTGGCCTCCACCGCCAGCATCCTGAGGGAGCAGGTGTCCCAGCTCAAGCAGAAGGTCATGAGCCACGTGAGCAACGGGTGCCAGATCTCCGTCGGCTCCGGCTTGGCCAAGAGTGCGGAGAACACCAGCTGCTGAAACACGCTCTCTCTCTCTTTATCTCCACACTCATTCTCGATCTCGCCCGCCCCATCCGGGAAGATCCCCTCGAGAAGATCCGAAGTCCGGATCTCCGACTCTTCAGGAATTTCCTTCTTGAAAAGTACGGAGTACATTTTATTTGTTAGCATTGAAGTTGTTCAATGCAGTGGATGCCTGAGGAAAAACTCCAAAGGGATGCAAACGCGCCGCGGTCGGGACAATCGGAAAGGGAACAAGAACTTGTGCTTGGAATTCTGCACTTGAATACTCTTCTTCTTTTTTTTTTACTTGTAAATGCGACGCTTTAAAAGAATGGAAGCAAGGATTTTTCTTTACAATCGGCGTCTCGTTCGACCGCTGGACAAACTTTATATGTTTTAGGAGTTTGTGTTTATATAACAATGCACTATTATGCAAACACTTCCCGAAGCACCTGATCCGTGCATCCGTGGAGCGAATCCCTTTATACTCCCCTATCTGATGTGTTTCAAGTGGAAATCTCGTCACCGTGTCTCAATACCCACATTACAGGATATTGTTTGTTTGTTGGTTGATTTGATATTGTGCAATTTGTGAATATATGAGAAAAAATATTTTATACAAGACTTTTTAAGAAGTATTACATTACTGCGTAATATCAAAACATTATAAGCAAAGTGGAGACACCTATAGAGAAGGGATTGTGGTACTGCGCAAAACTTTAACTGGTACCTTTTGCCGTTTTGGAGTTGGGAAATTCCTGAGCTTTCCGAGACCTTTTGCACTGTAATCTCCCGCGGGAGTGCGTTAGTAATGGCGGAGCATGTAATCTCCCGCGTTAGTATTGGCGGATGTGTAATCTCCCGCGGTTGCGTTAGTAATGGCGGATGTGTAATCTCCCGCGGTTGCGTTAGTAATGGCGGAGCATGTAATCTCCCGCGTTAGTATTGGCGGATGTGTAATCTCCCGCGGTTGCGTTAGTAATGGCGGATGTGTAATCTCCCGCGGGATTGCGTTAGTATTGGCGGATGTGTAATCTCCCGCGTTAGTATTGGCGGATGTGTAATCTCCCGCGGTTGCGTTAGTATTGGCGGATGTGTAATCTCCCGCGGTTGCGTTAGTAATGGCGGATGTGTAATCTCCCGCGGTTGCGTTAGTAATGGCGGATGTGTGTTTCTGCCGCTGAGGAGTATTAATGCCGTGTAACCTGGAGGAGTGTTGCGGAAAGATACGCATGTTGCTTAAAACTGACCTGAATTCAGAACGACAACAAAAGGGCTTTTGATCAATAGTATTTTTCTTTTTTTTTTTGTATTTTATTTTTTGTATGAATTATGAAATGATTTTATTTATACAGAATTTGTATTTATGTTGTTTTCCGAGGAGAGGAGGATTACTTGTCGGAATACTAGTGTCTCAGTGACACGTTATTTTTTTGGAGAACAATCGCACATGAATCAGAAACATTAAATGATGTGTAATATTTATCCTCTGTTTATAGCATGATGGTTTGAACTATGCTTTTAGTAGATAACGATAATAAAGGAGGGGGATTCTGGAGATGGTCGTGACGGCACAGAAGCGGACGGGTCTCCGTCGGGATCGGGATCATCTCCTCAGAGCTGCTGTTCAACGCCTCGCAGTTCCTGGAGATGCAGATTATTTTATTTATATATCCATATCCGTTTGGAGATGATTCATAGGGATACCTAGACTGTCAAATAACCTTGTGCAACAAGAAGATATTTATTTTTTGAAACTTGAATAAGGTTTTTGGTGTCTCAAACAAACGTATTGTATTTTTGTACAAAATAGTTTAGAGATAGTGTGTGTGTACAGTACCTACTGAATAAGGTTTCATTCCCAGTGCTCTATTTATTGAAGTGCTTTTACTGAGCAGTGTGTTACTCGTGTTGCTGGTGTGTGTTTCGGACGCTTCTACTGTTGGTACATTTGTCCACCTAGTGCTCGAGTTTTTTCCACTGGCATCAAGTGAAAGTCCTTGATTTGTTTTGTAATGTGTGTGTGTGTGTGTGTGTGTACCTCTATTTTAACGCTAACCGTAAGCATAACGCTCCTGTTTTTGTTGTTTCATGGTACTGTGTTTCGACTCTGAAGACTGATTGCAACTTTGACTTTTGCCTAAACTCGTGTCATATACATATACTGAACAATGAAATACTTTGTTGAATGAGTTTACTCTGTTTACCTTGCGTGTACAAGCGTTTGTACGATCTAAACTGAGTGTTCAAGTTTGAGTAAAAGATCAAGGGTGACCGCAGAAGTTGATGAGCAACACCGGTTGTGCCGGCCGGTTCTGGGCCGTGTTCCCCGTGTCTCTGGAAGACGGGAGCGACGGCTCGGCCTCGGGCTGAAGGACTAAGAGGCGACTTGCCTCGTCGTGTAACAAGCGGGTTTATTTGCTTCTGAATAATAATAACATGCGGTTTTCAAATGTTGTTCGTTGTTCCCTTGTTTTCTTTTATATCAACAATAAAGAGGTGGTTTCTGAACGCTTGTGTTTCTCCTGTCAAAACTCATTTAACACTGTGCTTTTCTGAATATTTGAAATCATTTTTTCAGTTCTTAAGCTTTGATTCAGATGAACATCAGAGCGAGAAACAGCGCTGAACAAAAGGGAATCTGCCGATTTCAGTCATTATTAAACCAGAGAAGTTGATGGCATAATTCTGGCATTGAGAAATGAGTCTGAGCAAAAGTCATTAGTCAGTTGTGTTAAGTAGCGTCATGAACACGTCGTGTCTGAGGCTTTCCCTTAAACACCAGCAGCTCTTCCAGTAAAGCACAGGGAGTGTGTGTGTGGGTCATTGTGAAAGTAAAAGTGAAATGAGTCTCGCTGGACCAGCGGCACAAACTCAGCTCACCCTTACTCAGATACTCAGATCATGTGAATTACACCAGTCTAGGGTTTTATAACTGACTTCATAAACGTATGATCAGTCTTAAATAAAAAGAATGAGATGACTAACTTGAATAACTAGTCTGAGCAGTGTGTGTGTGTCAGGTGGGAAGGTCAGCCGGTTCGTTGGAGTGTGTGTTGGTGTTCAGAGTTACTGTGGGAGATGAGACACACACACACACACACACACACCTCTCCTGATGAACAGAAGAGCACCGCTTCTCGATTCGCTACTTTATAAAGTTATGTCTTCAGGCTCTGAGCGAACAGAATAAGTTTCGCTCTCCAGGTTTGCTGATGTTCTTCTGTGAGTCTTTTGGGAATGACTAACTCTCTCTCCTTCCACCCACCTTGCTTCCCACACACACACACACACACTCGTCCTCTTCTTCATCACCGAGCCTCTCGATCCTTCGAAACGGGACAATCCTGTAGTTCCAGCGTCTCTTATGTAAAGATGTTGCTGTTCTGATTTATACAAAATATATTTCCAGAAAACCCATCCTACACAGAAACTGCTGACACACACACACACTCGTGTCCGTGACGTCTGATCGTGTCGGTGGTTTGGCAGCTGGAAGAGTCAGTATTCCAGGGAGGAACTGGATTATTTTAACTCATTCTGATCATGGGTCATTATCACATGAGAGCGAAAGAAGGAAAGACATTAGGCGTTTATTCCTGTAATAATGCACACACACACACACACACACACACACACACACACACACACACACACACACACACACACACACACACACACACACACACACACACACACACACACACACACACACACAGTAATCAGTGTTGCCCTGAAATATTTGCTTTGGGAGGATCTGGGTGTGTCAGTTACAACATGTGTGTAGGAGGGACACACCTCCTCTGTGTGTGTGTGTGTGTGTGTGTGTGTGTGTATTGTAGGACTGCTCCCTGAGTCAATTAATTAGACTCTCTCTCTCTCTCTCTCTCTCTCTCTCTCTCTCTCTCACACACACACACACACACACACACACACACACACACACACAATGGCCGTGATCGCCGCACGCACGCGCTGCTATTTCAGGTGAAACTCCCCGCATCTCCTTGGCAACAGCCGCTCTTTACACACTCGATCGTGTGTGTGTGTGTGTGTGTGTGTGTGTGTGTGATCCGCTTGTAACTGCTGATGAACTCATGATTACAGCAGGTTTTCCCCGCACATATTCCCACTTCTCTGAGAAATTCAGTGTTTCTTCGTATCATTAATCATATTTCAGAAGAAGGCTCGAGTCATTCTGAAATACTTCTGATGGTTGAGATGATTTAGTTCCCGCAGATTATTTTAGATCAACTGGTGGAAGTTTATGAATATGATCAGATCTCCTGATTCTCACTTATATGTTCACAAAGGCTGCATTTATGCGATTAAAACTATTATGAAGTATTATTAGTATTTATTCCTGTGCTCAAAGCTGAATGTTCAGCATCATTACTCCCCCACATAGCAAACAGACTTGGCCCAAATGTGGCCTCATCATGGCACTGCTGGCGTGTTGCCGGCAATGGCATGCATCATGTCAGCCAACTGTGGGCCAAGTGTGGCAATGATGGCACTGCGTGACGGCAGACAACTTTTGGGCCGATTGTGGATGGGAGGTATGTGGCCCAGATCAGTGTAGCGATTATGGGCCATATTCTGTGTACTGGAAAATTGTAAGCCTGCTACTATATTTTCAAGGCAAGATTATACCCCACCCCGACCCCTCTGAAAAAGGTGTTAAGATTTTAATAATAAATAATAATAATATTAATTGACTTAAATGAGTCAGTGAAAAAATATATGTCCAATTGTTTAAAAAATGATTAATAATGAATAAATATAGGATTTAGTTTTCAGCAATGTTTACAAAATGTTGTATCATTAAAAATATATATTTACTAGCATGATAAGTATTAGAACTATGATTTTTTTTAAGTATTAGACCTATTATTTATTTGAATTTTTTTTAATATAAATTTGTAATAATAAATAAAAAAAAACGAATCCACATCCAAGTCTAAGTTTTCCATACTTTTTATTTTAAGCACCACAAAATCATGTTAAACATGTAATATCTGGATTTTTTTTTTTTCAGTCAACTATTGTTTTATTTCGGCGCGATCTCCATGGTAACAGCAGCTTTTCTGCTTGGTTCACGTGATGCGTTGTTTTGAAATTTCTCCCGCTGAAGATTGAAGAGGAAGACACAACCGCTGTACGGGTAAGTGAAGTTCACTCTCTTTTTGGCGCTTTTTTAATACCTTATTTCAAACTCGGATGCCACTTTTTTCTTTATTGAAGTGAACTTTTGCCTGGTAGCTGATTCAGTTGCCCCTGAATATGAGAATGCCTATACAGACGCGAACGGGGTGCGATCATGTGCGATAGACCGGTGCGGAACGTCCGAGGCGAGGCGTGGTGCTTCACGTGTGCGAAACAATGTAATGTTAATGCTTTTAAAATTATAGAAAGATCACAGCAAATCTATCAACCGCAATTGACTTATAAAGCTGAAAGTGATCCAGTGGTTGTATAATTGTATTATATCTAAATCTAATCGTGGCTTGTTTCACATGAAAAGGACATGCTCCATGTTTTTTTTTATTTGTGATCACAGACTGCTTATTTATTTTTGCTTGTCATGTATTGCTAGTCATTTCAGTATGCTATATTCGTAGGCGATTGAGAAAATAATAATACTGTACTATTAAAATATCTACATTGAAAGAATGAAATTGATCACATAATTTTTATTTTTTGTCTAAAACAATAGTTCTCAACCTGGGTAATGTTTAGAGGTTCATTTAAATGCAATAAACAATTGGCAACTTTTCAATTGGCCAAAACTGAACCAGGGGCTAACCATTGACGCATGGCAATGTTTTTCTTCCAACATATTGGGCATTATAAGGAAAGAATGACTCTATAAAGTTGTCTTCCCCTCCTTTCATATTGTTTAATTATTGATGATATGTAAGTTGCTCCCCCATTCCTGTCTGTTTGTTTGAGTGGATGTTATTTTATTTCTAAAGACTGTAAGGAGTTGAAACTCTGGCCTAAGGCACTCACTTTCCATGATCTAACAAGATGATTAATACAAATGAGTTTTAGAGCTACATTAGTATCCTATATTGGTAAATCTGGAATAGGTGATGCATTTTCAATGTTAATTTTTTTTTTTTTTTTTTTTTTTTTTAGGGTTAGACGACAAAAACGACCTTCTCTGATAAAACGTTGTAAACGCCTATGGTAAACACAGCGGTTTTGCCCTCAAAGATGGCGTCACCGGGGAGGTCACGTGACAATTTTTTTGCCTGCATTGTGGGAACTATGTATAGCGAGCCTAAAATGAGGATCTGATGATCAACAAACAATAATGATTATTATCAGCGTTGAAAACTGTCCATGTGAGTGGAACAAATGAATATATTTTATTTTTCAGGATTCTTTGATGAATAGAAAGTTAAAAAGAACATTTATTAGAAATAGAATCATTTGTGATTAGGGTTGGGAACCGAGAACCGGTTCTTTTCCAGAACCGGTTGTGTTTTTGAAAAAATACCGGAACCGTGCAAAATTCCTAAGTTTCGGTTCCGAAAACGGTTCTGATGCCGATGCGATATCATCATGTGGGCGAAGTGCTGGGAGTAGAAGACGCCGTCTTATTCCTAAATGACAAAAACTTCACCACTGAAGTTGCGATTTGCTCTCACACGCGCTGCATTTGTCACACACAGACACACGCACGCTGCGCGCGCCGACCGCCGAGTCACTCTCTAGCCTTCATTCAAATCTGTTTGCGCTGAGAGAGAGAGAGAGAGAGAGAGCAGTTGTCGATATGAAACTGCTTTACAATCACACAGTCTCAATATTTATTTGTTTCACATATTCAAATGATTTCCGTTACAGAATTAGTGAGATTATAGTTTGAGTAAACATTGACGGTAGTGGTCAAAACAGATGCAGTCCGTATATTTTTTGTGTTCAGAATTTACAAAATATATACAATGAGCGAGTACATCATATTTTTTTTTTTCAAACCGTGTTTTTGTCTTATCTTGAATCACTACGTAAAGCCTGTAATAAGCGTTAATACTCGGACTTCTTTAGACTGGCCGGCGGATCGCAGCAGCTGCGGAGTAGCCCAATGCCTGCGTGACTCGTCATGGACATAAACAGAGAGAAGTAGCTCCGGCAACAATGTTCTTCCGCAAGACGCATGCAGTTCTGTTAACTGCTAGAGCGCCGATTTATCCAGTAATGAAATAAGTAAAGTCTTTATAAATCAATCATTCAAACCGTTTTAAAAAATAATCTGTTCTACACACATATGTGTGTTAAAGCATATTCTACTCCTTCTGAGAGGGTATTCTTCACTGTTGGAGATACAATAAAGGAGAGGTCTAAATTATTATAGAGAATGCAGAATTTTTTAATTTCCTTATATATATATATATATATATATTTTTTTTTTTTTTGCAAAGATTGCTTAATAATATTTTGAGTTTGTTTACATTACCAGTCTGTTAAACAAATTTGTCAAGTACTATAAGAAATAAACACGAAAA